TACCGTTTCTCACGGTGTTGTCGCTTGCAGATTTCTTATACTTTTTCTTCTACCCTGAAGATGGGGGCGATACGTTCCTCCGAAACGTCGGTTAACACCACATATACACGGTGCCAAATCCCAGAAGACTGCTTTCTTCATAGCCACCGCCGTGAAAGCCTCAAATCTTACACAATAATTACTACAGTCAGTTTTATCATCCTTCTTGTGAACTCATATGATAATAGACCCCTTCCATTGGTAGGCAATTCTTCCTTATTGCAAATAGAACTAATTAGCTTATGGATCTCAACGTAATATTTCACTTCCTGCTTGATTCAGTTCTGATAATATTTGATAACTACCTGGCAATTTATACTTTTTCAACTTTGTGATAGCAATTTCAACCTCAGAAGGACTGGGATAATAACAGCTTAGCTGTATGTATTTCTGCCTAATTTCAGTGAGCCCATGTACATTCAATATTAATATCTGGTAAATTATAAGACTGTCCCTGTTAATTTTTCATCATGAACACAATGTGCACATATTACTCGGTATTATTACCACTCATTGACAAGTAACATGGTCTGTTTCATGTGTAACACATGATAATCTTAAAATAGCACCAATACTCAATGTGCAATCAACATGAACTATAACAGTTTCCATTCTGTACTTCAACCAACTAACCAACTCTGTAGAGTTAGTCTGCAAGTGAACTGCCGCTTGTCAGCAAATTCTGTACTTCATTTCATGTTAAATTCCACTATTGCAGCGTCAATGTGGGAGGAGGATAATGTCTGCAGTAGGAGGTTGACAGGACAAAATAACATGAGAATATAGCTCTGGGCAACGCCTTGATTGCTTACAAGACCCGTCAGAAACTTAAAAAAAAAAAAGACTCGCAGATTCTGGGGTAAACTTTGGTTATATCTGCAAATCATCAGTGGTTCAATCCATCTGCTGTCTAAACAAAAACCTTGGAATGGATTTACAAACCTAGGTGTCCCCCAGGTGGTACCCATGCCCTAGGAAAAGTACGCAGGTGGTCACAACGCTGAGTCATTAGAACATGTGAATCGGATGATTCCACAAGAACTGCAACTCCAACATAAATCCCTCTGTTTTGTGATGGTGTTACAGGTGTGCTACATTGTTGTAGTTTCCAAAGTGGGCATTCTGGTGAATGCTGTGAATAAAATTAATTGATATGAATGCCCAGTCTACATTACACATTGTAAACTGAAGGTTTTACATAAAATTCTGAACGTACGTAAAGTGTCACAGATTCCAATTCAGTACCATTAACTGTTCCTGTACTTTCTTCATCTTTATCACCCAACTTGTTCCCATCATGTGGAGAGTATAGCACCAGCATATCATCTTGAATCTTACAATTTATCGTTGCTGATTTCTGAGTGGGTGAGAAATGATGTACCAAGCATGTTAAAAAGTTGGCCATTTTTGGTTTATCACATGTGTCTGGCGCTCTGACACCAACAAGCATTCTTCTTATGTTCGCTATGTTATTTACAACTGCTGCCATTATTTTTCAGAGGTATTATCACAGATGTCCAAGTAATCTGGAATTTGAAGATTAGTATGTGTTAGAATCATGTATTTTTTTAGAATTCATCCGTTCATGTGATAATTGAATGACACTACAATAAACGTCGTCAAACTCTTATAATATACGTAATTTAATGTTTTGCATTATACATTTCACGGTCAGTATCTAGCGGTAACTAGCTAAGCATAACAAATGGATATAACTCCACGCACAGAATAACAGCAATGCAACCAGTTACAGCAACATACAGTTTTAATGCAAGAATGAAATGTGGACATGAATGTTAAATGTGTTTTCTTTAGAGTGTAACAGCAGAAGATATTTTCATATGAATTACTGTCTCCCGGGTCTCAGCTTATCTACCTCACTTGATGGCAACGGATTCTACAAATCCGTACTACGGATCACTAAATAGTCATTTACCGCCATGAGAACCAAAAATCTCACTGTACACTCCACGATACGAGTGGCGGCGACACTACTCGTAGTCATACAAATCGTTTTGATACAGAAAGTGACAGTGAGAAAAAAAAACAGTAGCTGGCGTATTTCGTGTAGTAAAAGTACCAATCTCGATATAAACTGTGGTATTACGTCTTCGCGCCGGTCACGGTAGCCGAGCGGTCTAAGCATGTACTGTCTTCGCTCGCTTGGAAACCGGGATCGTGGGTTCGAATCCCACTCAGGGCATGGATGTTTAGTTTGTGTGTGTGCGTTTTTCTGTGTTTGTGTACAGGTAGAGGCCTTGCGACGAGCTGATCACCCGCCCAAGGAGTCCTACCGAATGTGTAAGATCTAGAAAAACCGAAGTGAACGGAAAAGTTCATGGAGGCAGGCCTAGGCCCACTGGGGCTGTAGTGCCAAGGAAAAAAGAAAAAAATTACGCCTTCGAATTTGTCGAAGCCCGTCTTAATGCCGCTTGGAGTCACTTTGACAATGAATTTTAAAAAGGAGGGAATAGGAAAGAAAGTATGGCCAAAGAAATGCCTTTATGAGAAAAACGTATAAGTTTACAGAGTTATTAAACGGACCAAATGATTTTTAAAATTTCACGATCATGGATAATGAATTATTTCAAAGTTGATTACACTTTATAGTCCAAGAATTAAAAAATGTGACGAGGTATTTTTTTTTAATATTCTTTACATTACAAATTCCATAAACACAGATGGAATCAATAAACATTTCAACCCCTTTCCTTCTACCCATTGACGATTACTTAATGTAGCCATCGGGTTTCATAGGATAAAGAATGCACCATGACAAAGGAATTTAAATATGAAAACATGGCGTTAATCAATTAGTGTACAAAATTTCACACGCTTCGGATTAAGAAATTATCATGACGAAATTTGAATACATAATTCCTGTGCCCAACACGTTTTTATTCATTATCATAACTACTCAAATGAGAGCTTACTATCTATCCTGCCACCATACGAAATTGAAAAACATGATGATCATGAATGTTTTAGTTAGTAATCCAGAGTGCAGATTAAGGTCTTCTGAGACGAGATGCCATATAGTTTGACGGCACCAACGTTTCGGAGGAATGTGCTTTTTCAACTTCGGGAGAAGAGTTTCGGGCACAAATATACCAAATTGCACTGCGTCACATCCCGGAAGACTGTAAGCTTCGTAGTGACTCCTGTGAAAACCTAAACTCTCACATGTCCGCGCATGACGTCTAGAATCTAGAATCCATCAAAGAACTATTCATGAGGTTCGTGAAAGGATGTTTTGTACAGCGTCTGCAGTTTACAAGACCATTATTATGGAAATTCCACCATTGCATGTGTTCGTTATACTTTGTTGTTATTCGCCTGTTTTGTGGTAAGCTTACCCAGGCTTCAGGATGTCTCGTGGAGAGTTTGCAGGTGGAAAAACAGACGAAAATTTCCCCACTGTACTGGTTATATTTAGCTGTTATTCGTCTATACGCATAGTCGTGTCCGGTTGTGTGTGTGTTTGCTGTTTTGGTTTATGTACTGGCCGTACTGGCCAATTGTTTCTGCAGTATGACTTCTTGTTGTGGTACGTAATACGTCAAAGTGACAGGGAGTGAAAATACCGTAAGACTACGAAATGTATAATGGGTTTTCATGGGAGTTGTGAAGTTTATGTACAGCATTTCATTCTGGCTAAATATTGGTGACGACTGAATTGCTAGGAGAGTTTCAGCGATGGCAAAAATGCCCACACTTACTCTCCAAGCTCCGTCACTAAGCTCAGTAAGTACGGAATGGGACCCAGTTACCAATTCTGACGAGAGAGAAGTAGCATCACACCAGTGTTTATTAAGAATCAAAAGGTAAATGTAATACTTAGTCTCTTTTTGTTTGTTGTCTTTAAGTGATCTAAAGCAGTCCACTGTATTGAATTCTTTAGAGTTATGAAATATGTGGAATTTGCTGATTACAAGTAAAGTACGATCATCGGGTTAATTAATTCATTCATTCATTAATTTTATTTGGCATTCATAATTGCTACAATAGTAATACTTTAACAAGTCATTAAATACATCATTCTTGAAGTCCTTTTGCTCAAATGACTAAAGGATTAGAATTTGTCAATAGTAATATTTAAATATAACACACACTATCAAAACCAGATAAATAATCAAATTAGATACAGTACATAAATTTAAATGCAAGTTAACTGATGAGTTTATCGAGAGAATTCTAAGAGCATTGCAGTAAATCAAAAGTCCTACATATGACCATGTCAGTCACCAGTCACATTAAGATACTACTAGCGACAATTTGTTATCTATTTCAATTGCTGAATAGAGGTTTTTCTATGCTTACTACTGTCCCTCTAAGACAAGGGTCTCCAAACTACGGCCCGCGAAAGAATTGTGCAGGAATGTGCCAATTGAACTAATTTTCCAGTTAGTACTGTTAAATGTGTTTTCAAGCTTATTGATCTGACATATTATACTGCAGTTCGATGGCTTAGCTGTGGAAAGGTTCTTTCACTCTTCTTTCAGCTCAGGAATGAAACTGATATATTTCTTACTGAGAAAAACCATCACGAACCACTTTTATCAGATACCAAGTGGCTTTGGAAATTAGCAGTTTTGCTGATCTGGTAAACCATATGAACCATTTGAATTTAAAGTTGCAGGGTCAAAATAACGTGGTCTGTGATATTTGCACTTACCAAGACATTCAGAGCAAAGTTGATACTTCTGGAAAGCCAAGTGAAAAATTGTAACTTTGTTCATATGCTATACTGTGCAGAGTTGCATAAAAAAAGGTGAAGCAGAATTTCCTTCCTCCTTTGCAAATTTAGTCATTTCAGGTTTGAAAGAACAATTTCTGAAGCGATTTGCTGATTTGGAGTCCAGTGCTCAGGAAATTAGATTGTTTCAAAATCCGTTTGACTGTGATGCTGCAGATGTCCCAAGTCAAATTCAAATGGAAATTATTGAACTTCAGGAAAATTATCATATTACAGACAAATACAAGGAAGGAAATTTGATCGAGTTTTATAAATTTCTGAACTCTGAGCAATTTCCAAATTTAAGAAATTTGCTTGTAAATTTATCTCCATTTTGGGACTACATATTTGTGTGAACAAAATTTTTCCCAGATGAAGTGCATCAAGTTGAAATACAGGGCAAGTTTATCCGATGAACATTTAAAGTCGCTACTTGTTTCAAAATTTGAACCTCAATTTAATCAGATTTTAAGAATGCAAAAAGAGTTCCATCATTCACGTTAATTGTTTTATTATAATTTGTGATGGAAATATGAGCATTTGTTGCTACTGTCTGTTGTCATTAATATACGATAATTTATTCTCACGTACCTTGTATTTAGTTTATGAAATTGTGTGCTTTCAGTAACACTCTCATTTTATCTGGCCCGTTGAAAGTGCTGAATTACCTAATGTGACCCGCGGTTCGAAAAGTTTGGAGACCCCTGCTCTAAGAGAAGAAAAACTCATACGATGTATAGAATGAATGAACTAGTAAAAATACTTTTAGCTTATGTTTAAAGCCTTTACATCCATCTGATTTTCTTAAATCCAAAGGCAGTCTATTACACAATTTAATACCCATATTGATAACACTTTTCTGAAAGTTGGTATATTAAAATATGGCACATTTATTTATTTATTTACTTCATATCCATGGATCATTATACATGATATAGGACAAGTCAAATACTTTACAGTAATAAATAATAATAATAATAATAATATGATAAATAATATAATGATATAATAATATACTAAGATAATACAATGATGATTCTAATAATAGAACTAATATAATTGTTTAACACATGACACTGCTGTACACCTCGAGACCCAGTCCTTCTGTCCTGGCACAAAATACCCTGGTATCCTCAATCTTGTTCCTATAAGAAAAAAATACAGAGTAGGGCAGTAGGCATTCGTATAACATTACTAATGTTAAAATCTACAAGTTAATTATTCTTGAAATATATGTTCACAAGTGATTAGAACTAGGATTTGCCCCCAAACAAGAGAAACTCGTCTATACTATAGAAACAATGATCAAGTAGGAATGTTTTCAAAGTCTTTTTAAACTTGTATATTACTGGTATCTCTTTAATGTATTGTGGCAACTGATTTAACATACGAAGTCCAATATTATTGAATATTGTGCTAGTGTATTCCTGAATTGGTTATGAAAACATTCAAATTGGTTTTTAAGTAAACTAGAATTTCATATTCGTATATACAGACATGGTAAAGGTAATATATGTAATGATTTAAAATATTGTTTACGACTAATGGTTTTTGGGATTTGTATCATAGCTCTAATAGCTCTCTTCTGCAACCTAAAGATCAATTTAGCATTTCCTGAATTTCCTCAAAATATCGATCCATGTAATAAGAAGGATTGAAAATAAGTATAATATAAGGTGTGAGCAGTCTCTCACCCTGATACTCTTTTGACTACTCGTAAGGCAAAACATATTTTACGTAATTTATTTGCTAGTTGTTGAGTATGTGCAGACCACCTTAGATTTTTATCCAACCAAACTCCCAAAAATTTTTGTATGGTCTGTATAATTGATGACTGTATCATAGAGCTTTATTGATGGGCATTCGACTTGTACTTTTTGAGGTTGATGAAAGGATATTGCTGTTTTTTTTCTTTATTAGTAATTAATCTGTTTCTTTCAAACCACTCTGTGAGTGCATTTATTGTTTTATTTATTTTTCTTTGGACATCATTAGCACTATTTCCTGTTATAAGAATACTAGTATTGTCGGCAAAAAATGTTGGTCTTCCATGTTCAATGCCAGCTTCTAGATCATTGATATGTAGCAAAAGCAACACTGGTCCGAGAACAGAACCTTGTGGGACTCCATGTCTTATGGGTCTCTTTCGCGATAGATAGTGATTTCATTGGTTTCTTTACATCTGTATGTAATTTCCACTTTTTGTTCCCTGTTTTCTAGATATGATTGAAACCATTATAGTGCAACCCCTCTTATTCCCATTCTTGTCACCTTCCTTAGCAATATACCATGATCAACTAAGTCAAATGCCTTTAACAGATCCAGAAATATCACTATACTTATTTCCCTCTCATCCAGTGATTTGTAAACCCTTTCTATAAACTCTGCAGTTGCGGTATTTGTTGATTTCCCTTTACAGAAACAATGCTGTTTATTGTTAATTATGCTGTGATTATTAAAAAATGATAAAAAGTCCTTGTATATTCATGTCAATTTGAATTTCCCAGAGTATACATTATATTTCTGAAAATAGCACAACACCTCAAAGATACACAAGGAGGTAACAGTTAAAATCTTTAATTCTTTAAAAATAGGTCTGCATGATGTGGTGGATTAGTAATGCAATAATTCATTGAGTTATTTCTATATTTCATGGCTTTTCCACCCATTAGAATCTCTTATAGTTGCAGGGTTGGATCTCGTGTACAGTGCTATTATACAGGTTCTTACCTTTGTTGATCAGTTCACGGCTCTGCTCTTCATGCCAGTCACCTCACTGCCAGCTGTTAGGTGCACACAAATTTTGTCATTGAATCAGTATGCCTGATGGCCGATAATGTTTGGAATTGAGGAACGTTATTAACTTAGTGGACGGCTTGACGGCATTATGTTTCACATCAAGCAGTGCAGTTCATACTGAGGGGATTTGTTTATGATTTGTCAGCAGTGGCTGGTAGTTATCAGCTCCATTACCCGTTTCTTCTCAGTTACATTTAGTGAGCAGTACGTTCTATCATGATGTGGTATACTTCAGAGCAACGTGTATTTCTGTACAATACCTGCATGAAAACAAATCTGCTCGAAAATGACAGTGAAAATTTTGATGTAAAATTTGTGATGGAAGAGTTCCCAGTAGACAAATATTTCACAATTTAGTGAATAGACTTAAATCATTGGGACTCTTAATGGACAAGAAACAGAAACATAAGCACTGAGTGCTTACCAAGGAAAAGTTAATGACGTAGGAGCCAGACTTGAGCATATACATAGAAAATCACTGAAACGTCTAGCCCAAGATACTGGAATGTCAGTGTCTAGTGCAAGAAGGACAACACAAATGCTGAAGTTTAGACCATACAAAGCAACTGTAGTCCATGCCTTCCAGCAGCAAAATCCAGCTGGCAGGTTTCATTTTTGCAGTTGGTTTCTGCAGTTTGTTGTTAAAGGTAAGATTGATCTGTAATTAACAGGGACAAAATTTTCAACACCACCTGTGATCTGTGAGTTGTAACTTCATTCTGAACAATATCAGCTAGGGGTATATTGATTCATTGGCAAAATTCGTATGTGTCTCACAGCTGGCAGTGGGCTGGTCNCATTGAGGTATTCGTCTACAGAGTAGAAGGAATGAGCATGCAGATATTTCTTTAGCTCTAATTTAAAATGTTTATTATTATTTCTTCCTTATTCCATTATATCTATAGTAGGCAAAAGCCTTAGATACAGAATTGTGTCAATTTATCTTGCTAATACTCTTAAGCAGTTGTCAAGAAGACTTATAAAATAAGACAATGTATGTTTACATCATAATACAATTTCTCTCTAGCTTAATACATTCAAATTTATCATTGATTAAAATTTAAGATAAAAGTTTCCATCAAAAGTAACAGAATATTTTAGTCATTAGCTTAAACATATATAACAAATCCAAGATTAACAAGAACTCTGCCTGTACAAATTCGAGAGCAGGATTATATTCCTTGGAGTGAGTATGCCTTTCTGTTGTTCACTACTGTTACTTTTTGCAGAACATTACTGCATTTATTCTTAACTTTAGACAAGTTTTTGTGATTCTCCTTAAGCAAAAGGAAAAAGTTACTGCTATTAATAAACTGTTGTAAATCTGTCAGTGAAGGCTTAACCATTTCGTACATTTCAAGTTTATTTTCTAAGGCTTAGTTTCACTGGATGCCGCTTCTTATACATTGGTGCTATTTTTTGCTTCAATGAATATTTAGCAAATTATGCACAAGTTATACTGTTGAGGTGCGCACGGAAACTCGTGTAGTTTTTAATGTAGAGCGTCTGTTCTGTTGTCCACCTTAAGCCAAAATTTGAATGTATGTTACACAGGCACAATTGGACAAGTCAGTTGAAAACAGCCAGACACTACATGCCAAAAAAAAATGTTCTTGTTCTGTGTAGGCTCTCTGTGCGTGTGCCGCTGCCTATCTTTAATATGTATTAAAGATAGGCAGCGGCACACAGAGCCTACACAGAATAATACCTGAACAGCGATAAAACAAGAAGTGGCTGCTGCAGCACTATAGACATAGGGCGAGTACCCCGAGAAATTTTAATTTTTAAAATTTGGAAAAAGAAAAAAAACGGAAAATTTAAAGACATTTTAATTTGAATTGAAGTTTTAAAAAGTGCCAGTTTTGGAAATCAAATTGACGTGTGTAGGTTAACAAAGATTTTATACATACATACAATTGGAAAGACTGGTGTTTTAAATTTTAAACTACGGGCAGTGTAGCAGCTACGTAAGAATATACACCTGATGATGGCCATTTAGGGCCGAAACATGTAGTGTAGAGGAAGGAAAGAAGAAAGAACTACAATTAAAGTGTTGCACTTAAGACGGAGTTTGTCTCATATAAAAAGATCAGTAGTTTTTAATAAACTAAATACTTTTTGGTAGACTTGAAAAGATTCTGACGATGGTGTATACTCATACTGTACTTCTTTTGGCTTATTTTGGATGGGCCCAACTGAATAGGTTTATCCTTCCCTATCCACCTGAAGACAGAGACAGATCCAGTCTCCGAAACGTCGTGGTCTTTTGTCTTTTACATACCAGACGATGGGTGAAGTCCAAAATAAGCCAAAAGAAGTATAAATACTTTTTTTTTACTAGCTTTTCCAATATTTCAGTATTTCACTGCTGAAAATTAACTTTCAGTTTATTGGTTACATTTAATACCTAATCTTCAGTAATTGGTGCAAGAAACATGGAATTTGAATTTAATATTTTATTACTAACAGTATCATAACCAAATTTCCAATCCTTATTTTGATTTAACAACCTATCCAAATTCTTTATGAAAAAATCATTGATTGATTGATTTATTATTACCTCAAGCAATCTGTACAGGCAAGACAGTCACCACAGATATAGAAGCAGTCCATTTATATATATATACTAAAATAAGATATAAAATGAAAAGTAAAATATAACATAGATAAAATATGATATGATATGATAAAAGCAGCTGTAACTCACAACTTTGTCAACATACATACATACAACAAATGAACAATTTTCGAGTCACAACAATGA